CTATAGGAATGCCGGGACGGTCGGTCCCTGCTCAAGTCTTGCGTGGAGGTGCGCAGATCGTAGTGTAGGTGTCATCGAAGACGCCTTCGGCGAGTCACCGCCGCCCCCTGCCTTGGGAAGCGCCTGTGTGGCCGAGCGTAGCGGCCAGAGCTCGGCAAAGCTATCGGATTCAGTGCTCTGGAAACCCTTCGGGATACATGTGGGGGAGAGACGAGGAGGAGAGGGAGGAAACCGGAGGAGGAGGCCTCTTGGGATTCTCTCAGGGCGCTCCTGTGGCCTCCTGGGGGCTTCCGGGGACCCTCTTGGAGACCTTTTGGGGGTTTCCTCAAGCCTCTTGGGGGCCTTTGGAGGCTCCTTGAGAGGCCCCAGAACATCAAACAAACCTTTCAAAAACTCCTGTGTTTGAGGGTTTTTTCAAAGGTTTTCCAAGGGGGTTCAGAGATAGTCTTGGTTTCAATTCTGGGGCTCCAGAACATCCGAAAACACTTCGAACAACCCCTAAGGGGGGGTTCTGCAGTTTCCCGGAGGGAGCTCAGACATTCCCCAATCAGTGCTTGCACTGAAGGGGTCCTAGCGGAAGTTGAAAGATTTGGCGGCCCTTTGACAGTATGACAGATTTTTGGCCCGTCTGGCGCCGTCCTATGCTGTCTTTGGGCCTGTCTGGGTCGACTTGGGTCTCTCTTGGGGTGCTTCAGGGAGGTCTTGGAGGTCATCTTGGGCGTCCTGGAGGTCCCTGGGACCGTCTTGGGGCCCTCTTGAGGTCGTCCCAGGGGCCTCTGGGGCCTGCAGGGGGCCATCTCGGAGGCCTCTTGGGCGATCTTGGGGGCCTCTGGGGCCGTCTTGGGCCGTCGGAAGGTCGAAAAGAAACCTTTGCCAAAATGATTCAAACACCTGTTTTGACCTCTTCGGACCTTCCTGAAGGACCTCTTGTCGACCTCTTGAGCCGTCTTGGGTGCTTCTTGGGACGTTTTGGGCCATTTTGAGACCAACTTGCGCCGTACCGAGTGCATCTTGGGCCGTCTGGGAGTCATCTTGAGGCCATGTTGGGCTCTCTTGGGCCATCGTCGCCATCTTGGAGACCATCTTCGCCGTCTTGGAGACCACCTTGTGGCCGTCTGGAGCGGAAAGGCCGGTGCGCGGGGACGGTTACGGGTCTTTATGGGGTGCCGGCGCGATCGGCCGCGACGCCATTGGGAATTCTGAAAGGGCTGAAGACTACCAGACCAGACATCCAGCACGCCGTGCACCCCTACGGCAAGCCAACAGGGGCTCCCGTCACCGTGCCTCGGTTGTGGGTAAGAGTCCGCATGGATGGGGTCCACTCGGAGGGCTCTCGGTGGCCTCCTGGGGGCAATTGTGGCACCCTGCCCGCCACTAACATCATTACAATACTGAACACAGAGCACAGATGACTCTCAAGTACCTGGGGAACGCTCCACTTCCTACCTCGAGGCACGGTGGCGGATTGCCCTTGGAATTGCACTCGTGTGCAGCGGCGTGTGAGGCCGATTGGCTCGAGAGCTCGTCCTCCTGCCGTCCTGGATGGGCACGCTGGAAAAGGGGCACGGTCGACGTTGCATATGGTGGCGTCTGTCGCACGGGACCGCTGCGGGCCCAAGGTTCCACGGCTTGGTCTGACCTCACCTCGCCACATCTTCTCCCTTCTCTTCCTCGTCCCCTCCCCCTCGCGCCCCTCCCTCCTCCGCTCTCCCTGCCCCCCTTCATATTCCACGCTTAGACCCCGTCCGCCCTCCTCCCCCCCTCCCCCCTCACCGCCTCCTTCCGCCTGGTCTCCCCACGCTCTCGTCCCTTCCCCCCTCCTTGACGTCCCCCTCGTCTCCCTCGCCTCCGCCTGCTTCGGTATACCACCCCGACGAGCGTGTTTTTGACAACCCTCTGGGCCATAACGATCGTTGTGCCACCCCCACCCCTCCCACCGCCCCACCCCCGTACAACGTAACGCTCCCCCTCCCCACCATTGTGCGCCTCTGGCACTGCCACTGCGATGGTCGCAGGCAATTGCGGTGCGTGTCGTCGATGTTGTCGACGTCGTCGTCCCCGTCCCCGTCCCCGTCCCCGTCCTCGTCCTCGTCCCTGTCGTCGTCGTCGTCGTCATCGGTCCTCGTGGCGGTCGGTCGTCGTCGTCGTCGTCGTCGTCGTCGTCGTCGTCGTCGTCGTCGTCGTCGTCGACGAGGGCCTCGAAGGGCCTCCAGACGCCTCCAGAGGTCTCCCGAGACCTCCTCAGGCCTTTGGAGACCTCTGGAGACCTTCAGAGGTCCGTCGTCGTCGTCCTTGTCCTCGTCCGCGTCGTCGTCCCCGTCCCCGTCGTTGTCGTCGTCGTCGTCATCGTCATCGTCGGTATTGTTGTCGCCGTCGACATCGTCGTAGTCGTCGTCGTCGTCGTCGTCGTCGTCGTCGTCGTCGTCGTTGCCTTCAGGCGTTCGGCACCTCTCGTCGCCCAGCATATAACAGTTTCGAACAATGCGTGAAGGAGTGTTTGTGGGAGAAAAAATAATTCTTGACGCTTCGCTCAATCCCACCAGCCCATCCAGAGACGATGCCCAGAGGAGTTGCCTCGATCAGGGAAGTAGGAGTTGCCTCGATCAGGGAAGTAGGCAGCACAGAGGAAGGGTCCCTCTTGGAGCGCTCTTGGGACACTCCTCGGCGCTCTTGGGGCCGTCTTGGGGCTCTCTGGGGCCTATTGGCGGTCCCGGGGGCTTTTTGGAGCGTCTTGGGTGCCTCGGGGAGCCTCTTGGGGCCTCTTGGGGGTCTCTTGGGAGCCTCTGGAGGCCTCTTGGGCGCCTCTTGGGGCCTCCTGAGCGCCTCTTTGGGCCCTCTGGAGGCGCCTTGGGGCCATCTTGGAGGAGATCGATCAAAAAAGATGGGATCTCTAATTACTCTCTGAGGCCCTCCTAGAGCCTTTTTGGGCCATCTTGGGCGCTCCAACGACCCGCGACCCCACCCCTCCAGGTCCAGGGGACGGGGTATGGGGGAAAGGCAAGACTCCCTCCCCGCCCGCAAGCCGTCTCGCTCACTCCCACCCGCCCTCCCAACACATACGTAGCACCCGAGCTTGGCCCGAGCCTCAGCATATGGAGCAGTCGTCTTTGGACGGGCAGCTACTGGGGGCGTATCCGCCGCCGCCGCCTCCGCCGCCGCCCGCGTCGTCCGCCGCCGCCGCCGCCGCGCCGCCGCCGCCGCCGCCGCCGCCGCTGCCCGCCCGCCGCCGCCGCGCCGCCCGCCGCCGCCGCCGCCGCCGCCCCCGTTGCCGAATCGCCGCCGCCGCCGCCGCTGCCGCCGCAGCCGTGCCGCCACCGCTGCCGCCGCGCCGCGCCGCCGCCGCCCGCCACCGCCGCCGCCGCCCCCGCCGCCGCCACCGCCGCCACCGCCGCCGCCACCGCCACCGCCGCCGCAGCGGCGACGCCGCTGCAGCCGCCGCCGCCGCCGCCAAGTGTACTCTGTATTGTTTTTTTGGCAGGGATGGTGGGGGGAGGCCGCATCGGGTTGGCTGCGCATGCTCCGAATTTGGAGGCAGAGTGTGTTTTGAATTGTTTTCTTACAAGGGATGCTGGGGGGGGGGCCCGCATTGTTCCTGGTTGGCTGCCAGTCGCCCGGAGGAGGGGGTGTACATGAATAGGGAGCAGTGATGTATTAAACCCCATTCACCGAAAGGGAAGAGAGATGGGAGGAAGAGGAAACGCGCTAGACCACCTACGCCCAGAGGGCTGTTGGGATTGGTGATGCACCTATGCACTGCGCAGTACATAGTCGATGTTGTGCACCCGGCTGCGGCGGGGCATACTGTGCTGCGCAGTTTGGTGCTTGTTGTGATGCGTACGGGCGTTTTGGTGCCCGAAGCACACGGGGGGGGACGTTATGCCCCTCCCCGACCCCCCCATAACGCCGGGTATGGCTGCGAATGCATAGTTATAGACATTAGAAAACGCGCTCGGCCATTCAGACGTCGAAAGGAACACCTAACCATGAAATGAGTTTGCGTCGAGCGATCCCCGCGTGAAAACCGAGGTTGGATTCCCCAGGGGGCACCTGGCCCAATGAGGCCTGGCGACCACAGCATGCCGTCGTCATCCGTTGAAGGCACGAGGCGGGATACCCATGGAGCATTGGCACGCTTTGGGCCTGGCGGCCGCTGTATGCGATTTGTGCGAGGCGGGTATGTAACCATTTTCTTTGAACCTAACATGCCAAGCCTGCCGGTTGGGGGACACATGCGGCTGAACCCGACCCCCACCTTTGTCAGCATGCAACTATCAGACGGTGAAGTTCAGCATCGGCGCTGGTATAGCCGTGGTCGAAGGCCAGCCTCGTGCGGCATAACCTGGTTTGATATTGCTGAGTCCGGCTCAATCTGGCTCAATCTTGGGCGCGTTCTGGGCCAATCCGGGTCAATGGTTTCTTAGTAAAGCTAAAAAGCTTGAACTGTTCTCACAACGACATCCGAGGAGTTCCCCCCTAGCCCACCATAGTGCTGGGTTCGTCGAGGCGGATCGAAAGCCCCGCAGGGCCCGCAGTGACCGAAGCGGGGAGCTGCCGCCGCGACCGTCGTCGCGACGCCCGGGCTGTCGGTGCTGTAGGGCACGTTCTCCGACCAGTACACGTAAGAGTGACCTTTCGCTGGAGTGACCTTTGGTGCGGGCCCATTGGCCCCTCCGATCGCTGAATGCGGTGCGATAGTAGCGGCCTGCGCGCTTGGATTTGGCCCCCTCGCGCCCCCCAAAAGCCGCTCACCAAGGGTCACTCTTGCCTTAGTATAGGGTCACTCTTGCGTGCAGCCTAGTTCTTGACACTCTGTGGCCCCCCAGAGTCGGAGGAGGGAGAGGCAACGCTACCACCACCAAGGGGGCCACTTCCACTTCTGGCGAGGGCGTTCGCGATGGCTCCCCGAACTGGGGGTGGGGGTTATCGCGAGCGAGAGGGGGGGCGGAACCACCAGGAGGACCATCTCTGGCGCACTTGTCGCCAACAGGGCCGGGTTCCCAATGCTCGTGGCCCGCGTCGCCGCCCAGCCCATGAGGGGATCGCTCGACTTCTCCCAGGCGGCGCGCGAAGGGCGGCGACGCGAGGGGGGTGGCCATCCTTCTGGGAAGGCAGGGGCTTCCATAGAGTGCCCCGACGGGTGAGGGGGGGCTCCAAGGCCACCCCGCTCTCAGCCCCTCCCCCTCGAGCACCGCCAGCCTCCTCGGGCGGGCTGGTTGACTTGGGAGATGTCGCATCGCCCTCCCCCCCCCCAGACATTGGGCCGCCGTGCGGGCCTCGCTATCCTCCTCCACCCCCCTCCTCCCCCGCTCGGGCGAATTGGTGGAGAAAGAGAAGGAGGGGGGTGGAGGAGGATAGCGCGAAGATTGTGGGAGATGGGGACCATCGCACGGTTATCGCATCATTCAGTTGCGGCTTATAGGAGTTAACACGGGCTAATTGCGCGAAGATAGCCGCAGCTCAGCATCGTCATTCTGATTCTTATCACCTCCCTCGCGTTCGTCCCCCTCGTCCTCGATCCCGCCCCGGCCGCCGTCGGCCTCGTCGTCGCCGACGCCCTTCGCCGCCGCGCGGGCTCAGGCGACCTTCTGGAGGTACTACACCGGCGGCGTGGACCGGCTGGCGTGGGAGGCGGGGGCCGCAGCTCGAGGGGCGCCCAGCGAGGGGCAAAAGGCTGGGGGGACCATCGGCTCGGGGGCGCACACGTCGGCCCCACAGTCGCCCACGCATCGCCGAGAGGAGGAGGAGGAGGAGGAGGAGGAGGAGGCGGAGGAGGAGGAGGAGGAGGCGGAGGAGGAGGAGGAGGATGAGGAGGAGGAGGAGGAGGAGGAGGTCGCCGATGTGTCGGCGACGCATCGCCGGTCCCAGCTCGATGTGCACCCCCTGAGCCGGTCCTACCCGGACGGGTGATCTTAGCATAATTGTTTCGTCTTTTTCTCGGGGGCGGCCAGGAGGGGGTAATGACCTAGGGGGGAGTATCATGGGCATGGCCATGATATCTCTTCGGGTTTCATGACCCCCACTTCTCGTTACAATACGTCAATTGGCACCCCCTTGTCCGCGCACATTTTTCGCGAGCCCCCCTCTTGGGCCACCCCCTCTTGCACTTCCACCCTCTTTTCTGTTCTTCCACTCCTCCGCCGCCCTTCGTCCCTCCATCCCCCTTGCTCTTATCTCTCCTCCCACCCCACCCCTGCTTGGATCGCACCGTGCTGCAGGGGGAGTGAAACGCCTTCTGGGATAGAGTCCTGGACTGAAAGAGGGGCGGGGCTCCTCCTCAATGAGGAGAGGAGGAGGAACGAATCTCCCTCCTACATGCTGCGCAGACAGGGGGTGGGAAGCGGGGGGGTTCGACCGTCATGTCGGGGGAGGGAGGTGTGGGCTTCCCCAAAGCGTGCAGCCGCTGCACTGAGGCGCCGGCTGCCAGCACGACTGGTTCCAGTACAGTGGGGACGCGCAGCATGTCACGTGGAGCCAGGACCGGGACAGATCGTTCAAGGGGCACTCCCGAACGCTTTCAGAGCGTTCGGGAGCGCTCTGGAACGGCCGCGGCGCCTGACTGCACATCCTTCAACATTGCCGGATTTCATCTGCTCCCGATTTGTCCCGGTCCGATCTTGTCTTGGTCTTGGTTTCGTCTTAGCAAGAGCCTCCCCGCCCCCCTTTCGTGCTGCAGGAGTGCTTCGGGCCCCACGACTTCCCCAGGCCTCGAGCCCACCGAGGCTACTGGATCCCGTGGTCGGGGTTCGCTCTGTGGAGGGTTATGATGTTCCAACCTACTTCAGCTTTGACCACCAGAAAGAATTTCGAGCACCAAAAAGGGTACCCAAGCTCGAGGGTTTTCACGCGTCGGGCCCTGGGAGACGCTCTTCCGACACTCTTTCGACTATCTTTCGACACTTTTCTGGGTGCTCGAAATTATCTCTGGGATGTGGTCTTCAAGTGCGATGGGAGCAGCATAAGTGGAAGGGTCTCTTGTGGCCGAGGGTCCCATACTGTGCGGGGGTTCCCCTCGGCCGTGGCCCCTCCTTGCCGCGGTGTGCGAGATGCAGGAGGCCGGGGGTCCTGCCGGCGATCCCCCTTCCGCGCACGGCTTGCGTGCACCGTACCGCGCTTGCGTCTCCCGAGGCGTCGTCGACCCTCGACCTGGGAATGCTACGGTGCACGGTTGTGGGCCCTCGGATCCGGGAAGGTGTGCACCGCACCGCGCGTGTTTCTGGCGGGGCTTGGAGAGCGGCCAAGCAAGGCACGCAGCAGGGGCGCTGGTCCCGTAGCCCTCGCTCGTGTCGAGCTGGGTGGGGCTTCGCGCGCGCGTCCTGGATTGTGACGCTCCTGCCGTCGTGGGATACTCGCAGCAGGAGCTCGCGTCGAATTTCAGACCGGGTCTCGTCATTTGCATGATGGCCCCGTCAGGCCAACCCGGGTCCCCCGCACCCGAGTCTTACGTCTCCTTGAACAAAGGGGGGGGTCCCTCGGGGCGCGGCGGCGGCGCGCTCGCGCCGGCGGAGATCCGAGGCCGTCCGCAGCTACCACCACCGATTCGGGTGCACCGCGGGCTGGAAGCAGGCCGCGCGCGGGCTTGTCACCGCGGCTGGAGGGGGAGGAGGAGGAGGAGGAGGAGGAGGAGGAGGAGGAGGAGGAGGAGGAGGGGTAGAAGGCAAGAGGTGGCCTCGGGGGCGTGGATCAGTACAGTAATGTATTTATGGGGCCTGTCTTGGAGCGGTCTTGGGCCCCATAGCCAACAAAAGAGGAAGCGCGCAATTTGGGTCTGCCCCCGTCGGAGGCGGAAACACTTCAAAGCCCACAGGAAAATCAATGTGCGCTGCTGTGTCTCTTGGGCATTGTTTCGCGTTCTAACCCTTCGGGACGCTTCCAAGGAAAACAACGGCTCGGTGACCGCCTTCGCCCAATGGGTTGGTGGGATCACGACAGGTTGTCGGAGGTTTGGCCCCCCTCCATCTTGATTGCTACCCTTTGGTTCCATCCCTGCATCCTCCATCCTTCCTCATTCCCGCCCCCTCCCTCCTCCAGCTCCAGGGCCTTCAATCATCCCAGAGTGGATTCCTGGTCGAGCCTCTTGCCGCCACCCCACCCACACTCGTAGTACAACGTTCAGGAGGGCAAGAAACACACAGACACAATTAAGCGTCGACTCCCAGGAAGATATGGGAAAATGCGAAAAGTGGGGGGGGAGAAGACGACAGCCCAGAAAATATGGGGAAATATGGGGAATCCTGTTATTTGTGTCCACTTGTTTGTGTCTCCCTGGGCCCCTTCAAACGCCACCGTGTTTTTTCCTTCCTGATGTGCGGCTCCCCTGACGTCCGTCCAGAGGCTTGCCCTGCCGCCACGGCCGCTCCATCGATCGCTCTGGGCGTTGGGTTGAGTCTGGGCTTCACCCCGGGGCCCGGCGCTCCTGCGCCTTCTGCTGCCCTCCTCTCCTCCAGGCCCAAGCTCCTTGCGTGATCGTCGGGGGCGGCAAAGAGGGGGGTGATGACCAGGAGGGGTTGGATATCATGGCGGGGGCCATGATATTTCCCCAGATTTCAGGGCGCCTCTTCTTATCTCATTACGTCCCTGGCCCCCCCGCTGGGCCGCGCACATGCCGCCGGTGATGATTCGCCCCCCCCCCCCCCTCTTGGACACCCCCCTCTTGGCCGCTCCCGAGATCGGTGGCTTGGTGTCTCGAGACGCATTGCGTTAGAACCTCGGCAAGCCTGCGCGGCACGGCGTCGAGAAGTGCCAGCGCACGGCGCCTGGGCACTGCACGGCGTGGTATTGTTTTCGCGGTTGATAGGATCACGCTTCGGTTGTCGAGAACGCCGGCGGCACATCACCAGCCGACCTTTGGGGCCTTGACGCGCGCGTCGGCGCAGAGGTGTAGGGCGAGCGTTTCGCGTCGGGTGTCTTGCTTGGGCCTGCTTTGGAGCGATGCCGAGGCGAGGGGAAAGTTGGGGATTGGTATGTGTGGGGTTGGCAATGGGAGTACAAGGGTGGGGGCTGCAAGGTCGGAGGTCGGAAAGTTGGATGTTGGGACCTGGCACGCCGGAACCAGAAGATCTTGGTTGGCATTTACGTTCAGGTAATCGAGGACGCTGGCGGCGCATCAACGGCCGCTCCCTAGGAGTGTGACGCACGTGTGGGCGAAGAGTTGCCTGGTGACTTCTTCGTGCTCGCAGCGTCCTGGGTGCACGGCTGTGCTTGGGACTCGGACGAAGGCCTCCTTGGGATGTTTTCTTGGGATCTCATGAGGGGCCTCTCGAGAATCTCTTGGAGGGGTTTGGGGGGGCCTCTGGGAGCGTCTCGGGGGTCTTTTGGCGGTGTCTTCGGGGCCCCTTGGGGGGGCGTGCTCCGACCGCGGATCGCGCTCTTGGCCGCGCTGCAGCTTGGCTGCTCCTTGCACTTGTGCATTATGCTGCTGTTGGACCTCTTGGCCCCAGCCACCCTGGTACTTCGCAGGTTGCCAACGCTTACGTCCCCTCTGGGCACCCAATTCGACGTCCGACAGTCGGTTCACTGGCTGCGGCCACCCGTGTATCTTCGCAGTTGTCAGGGGGCTTGCGCCCTTGCATCTATTTCCACGTCTGCTGCTGTCCCGGGTCGACGGCCCCCCCGTCGAGCTGCAGCTTCCGACGCGTTGCGTACCTGCACCCTGGCAGTATTGTTTCAGCTTACCGCCAGCCACTTCCACTCGCCGGTTCGCCGCCGAGGCGCTGCGTGAGGCTTTGTCCCGCTTTCGGTGTGGTTGCGCCCCGTCGCTTTAGGCTAATTCGTGGTCGCGTGCCCCGCTTCTACTGGACTCGCCGCTGGCGCGCTCGCCTGCGGCCGCTAACTAAAAACATATCCCCACCAGCCTTCCGTGCCCTCGCGCCATTTGGCCGCGCTGCAGTTTGGTTGCTCTTCGCACTTGTGCGTGCTGCTGCTGTTGGACCTCCCGGCCTCGGCCACCCTGGTACCTCGCAGCTTGCCGATGTACATGCCCAGTCTGGGCACCCAATTCGACCTCCGACCGTCGGTTTACTTGGCTGCGGCCACCCTGGTACTTTCGCAGTAGTCCGGGGGCTCGCGCCCATGTGCCTAATTCCCGTCTGCAGCTTTCCCTGGTTGTCGGTTGCCCTGGCCGCCCGTTGCTCCGACCAGTTGCGCGCGACTTTGGCAGTATTGGTGACCCGCCTACCGCTTGCCCTTTCCACTCGTTGGCTCGCCGCTGAGGTGATGCGTGAGGGTCTGGCCCACCGCTTCAGGTTAATTCGTCTGCGCGCCCCCCGCTCTGACTGGACTCGCCGCTGGCGCGCTCGCCTTCGGCAGCTGACTAAAAAGTATCTCCACCAGCCCTTTGGCCCCCGCTCCCCAGATGACCCTGACTAGAACGACAGCGTGGCACGCTCCCCTACGTCGTCTGTGCGCAGTGACACCAGCCCACCGTGCAATCGACGAGTAACCTCGCGCTCCCCTGACGACATCCGCGCGCGGCTTGCCAGCCCCGCTCCGGCTGCTCTCCCCCGCCATTCCGCCACCTCGGGAAGCCTTGCTCCAGTCTCGAACAGCGGCGGTGCTGCTGGCCAAGTGGATGAGGTTTCGGAGGCCTCTGCAGAGGGCCCCCGAGGCAGCCTGCCCGCCTCGCAACGGGGACACCAAGGGGCACCAGTCGCCCTTTCTCCGTCATCGAGTTCCGAGCCACCGGTGGTCGCCCACTCTTCGGATAGCCCCGAGCGCGAAGGCAAGCCCAGCAGCCCCGCGTCGCCCGCCGCCGACCCGCGCGGCCCCTCCGCACTCGCCGGGCGGGATGACAGGAATCTCGCGCGCTTGCCCGAGCGGGGCGCCCCGCGCTCCCCCGGCATATAAAGGGAAACCCCGGCCGCCAGCACGCGGGGCGGGCGCGGCTGGAACGAAAGATGGCGCGAGCGTCGCCCGCGCCGCCACTGCGAGACCAGTCGCAGCAGTCCCTGCGGCAAGCACTGGGCCGACTGGCCAAGGTGGTCCAGCTGGGGGTCTGACGACCGTTGGGGCCGGCCTACGCGGACTCACGCCACCGAGCACGACGACCTCCCCACCCTTGGCCTTCTAACGTCAGCGCCCAAGCTGGCGCCGCCCCGGGCCAGCGCGACCGCAGGAGCGCCCAGGTCGAGGGCCCACAAGACCTTCGCGATCCAGTGACAGGGAAATACATCTACAAGACCCCCTTCGAGACAGTCGTCGTGAAAAGGCCCCAGAGGGAGCTGGGTGATTACTTCACTGACCTATGGCACCAATGGACAACCGCGCGCCCCCCGCACACAGGCAGGGCCTGTGCTGGCCCCGCGCGCCAACCGCCGGAGTCCTGGTCGCGTTTCCTTGACGAGTGGTCCTACTATACTGCAGGTGCAACGTTTTCACGATGAACACTGCTCCCAAGTTTGGAGTCGAATGGGGGCCCGCCCGCGCTCGCATCCGCGACAGAGGTAGAAGCGCGAGCAACCCCGGCACAGCTAAAGGCAAATGGGCCGCGCGAAGACAGCGACGCCCGGCAGAATAGAACTGCGGGCCCCAGAAAGGCAATGGGCGCGCGCCAGCCCTGGGCGCTCTCCTAGGCCTGGCGAAGGCCGGTCCGGTGCGCTCACGCAGCCGCAACCGCGGGCGCCGCAACATTACCTATGGGCCCCTTGGGGCTTATTTTTCCTGGTCATTGGGACGGCTTACTCCTGCGCGGGCCTCTGCGTGCGCGCAATGCCACCTCTGACGCACCCAGCTGGGGCTGTTGGCCCGTCCCAGGCACGGAGCTTCTCTCTGGGGTGCCAATTTGCGGCCCTTCTCCCCTTGGATGACTGCCGCCCCCCCCCGGCACGCTATGGGGCGGCCCGGGGATTGCCCCCCCCCGCCCACCCCCTCCCCCACCTTTTGGGCCCCTGCTGCTGCAGGGGCCCCTGCGGCAGCCCTCCGCTGCAGCGCCCCGCTGCCCCGCGCACCTGCAGCGCCCTTGCGCTCTCCCGCGGGGGCCCGGCAGGCTCGCGAAGGTCCCGCTGGATTACTTCCTCACCCTTGTCAGCCGCCCCCCCCCCCCGCTCCGCCGGCTGACCCATTGGATTCGCCTGGGTCGCCACCTTGTACTTGGGGCCCCCCACAAACTCCACGGCGGCGGCCCGCCACCCTTCCCCCGTTCGGCTGCCCTCGCTGCGCCGACCACGGGCGCTTCTTCGCGCGCGACCGACCCAGCGCTTGCCATTGCTAGCCGCGCCCCAATTCGCCCGGGCAGGTTTCAGGCGAAGCGGCCCCCTGACGAACATGCACTTGGCTCCGATTGGCCCTCGGGCTCCAGTAGCCTGATCCGCCCGCCGCCCGCTCCACGCCGCCGCGGCTGTCTGCCGCGCCAGGGTGGAACGGGCGGTGGGCCCGTTCGCGAGGAGGATCGGGCACAATGATTTGACCCTGGCCACTTCGCCATTCCCGCGGCTGTCAACCGCGCCCCAGGCGATGCTCGATCAGATCGCCTCTCCATCGCCGACGCCCTCGACCTCGCAGGCGTGGCCTTCTCCTGTCACTCCGCGGCTGTCAGCTGCGCCCCGTCGAAGCATCCGCGCGTCTCAGGC